CAAGCACGTGGCCAAATTGTTGACAGAGATCAACGTGTCAGGATGTTCGGCACCGAGGGTGCGTTCTTGTGCCTTCAAGGCTCGATGGTAGAGGGGCTCTGCTTCAAGCAAACGGCCCATGGCCCAAAGGCAGCTGGACAAGTTGCCCAGATTCCTCAGCGTCGTCGGGTGCTCCGCTCCGAAGCGCCGCACCGAATCTTCCAACGCTGAGCGCAGTAGCCGCTCGGCTTCGGCATACTCTCCCCGGTACCGCAGGGCCACGCCCAAGCGGTGCTGCGCTTCAAGTTGGATCTCCGGACTCTGAGCGTTGCGCAACCGCACCCGCAGGGTGTCGATCATTCGGGCTCGAGCGTTGGTGATGCCCTTCTCGTCAAGCACGCGGAGCACCACGCAGCAGCGTTCTGGTTCGTCCGGTTCGTTCAGGAGCTTGTCTGCAAGGTTGGTCCCGGGGGGGCTTGCCTTTAGCTTCCATTTCAGGTGTCGCTCGTTCTGAGATGTCATAAGCATTCTCGGGATCGATCAGAAGTGGGATGCAAAACCTCAACTATGAGTCAAACATGCAAGCAAATGACAGCATGTTGATCTGGACTTTTCGCTACTCACTAAAACCAAGAAACGGCAAAAACACAAAACGTATTTGATGAATAATGACGGAACCCGGCGCGTGGCGGATACTTCTCGTTCACATACGATGCACCGCGATCCTGAAGATCACGGCGCATCATATTCCTGAAATTATTATCCAGGAGCTGGTGCCTGTCGGCCCATTGGTCCGGAGGCTTGGGCACACTGTAAACGCCCGCACCCCACCAGGCATTGGCGCCTGGACCTTGTGTAATCAGAGAGGCAAACACTTCAGCAGCCTTCTTCTCCAGGGCAGTGATGTTGTGGAAACCTAGTTCACCTGGGATTCGTCCAACCAACACGGAAAGAATGCCTGAAAGAATTCCTCCACTAAACAGAATAGAGACACTTTACCTCAGACCAAGCCAGGTCACTAGTATAATGGAAGTAGACTTTGGGATTTTGCTTTGAAGATAGGTCCATGGCATCTTGCCACACGAAGATGCCGGTCTTCTCGTGCTTCCAGGCGTCAAACTCGTCAGAGTGCTTATACTCGGGAGACTGAAACTGTCCACCTTCCCGGTACCTTGGATCGAATCAGTTCTGAAAAAACACTTAACAAGTAGTAGGACTAAGTTGGACACACTCCACCAGAGGAATCTGGAAAACCGGTTTCTCGCACTCTATCTTCCCCCAATGGAGCATCTTTCGGTTCCAACAAAAACACATAAGCCGAATATATGTAACTCAAATCAGTGTCAGCTCAAGCGAGGTGACAATGTCTCGAAGTACTCCACCAAGTTATCAGTCTTCATGGCCATGGCTGGACCCTTTGGCCCAAGGCTTTGAACTTCCTCGTCTCGGTGAAAACTCTGAAATCTCCTAGGCTTTGACCCTCCCAAAAGACAACGATCAATCCATATGCCATATGAGCAAATGAATGTTGTTGTTTCTTTTTGTAGAAACACAATACACTTGAGAGATCAACAATATGATCCACCTCTAAAAAGCAATATAGCTTCATATAGTGTCTATAGTGATTTGACAGGACTTGACCAAGCAAAACAGCATCTTGTTCAACTCAATACTAAGTTAATTCTGCAGGCCTAGATTTTGTCCAGCTTGGCATATGGTTTCCGAAACTTTGAGTCCACCAGGACCGGCGAACAACATAAGCAAACTATGCCTATGCGCCAGTGACACTTCAAACCACTCTTGGATAAGCAATGACAGTTCACCCCCGAACCAGGGACTCTGGCATGGCCTAGTGTCGCTTCGACATTCTATTTCTTTCTCTCCAAACAGTTTGGGCTGGAGTTGCACACATCTAGAGTCTTCACGAGATAAACAGCAAAAGCCTGTGGTTGGTGTGAAGTGCCTTCGATCTGATCCAGTTGATGCTTGCGGCGAGTCCAATCCACCTTGCATGGGTCTTTGTAAGGTTCCTTCATCTTGAAGCAAAGCTGAACCTAGAAATGTCTCCTTTCAAAGATATAACAATGACATGAACATTGTCACTCGACAAAGCTGAAGGTCTCCATGAAGGCCCTAGATAGCTCCGAAAAGCAATCTTCATGATGAACTCCAATGAAAAATCGGTCTGAACTCTGAACTACCAATATTTATGCGGCCCAAAGTAAATCTGAAACACATCTGAATGGGTCCCAGCATCTACATTCAGCACCCATGCCATTGCCATGAGGCCATGTTCATTGGACCAACTGTCTGATCTTCGATCTTTAGTTTAAAAGGCCAGCCGCCACATGAATATTACAATGAGTTAACATGAGTGATGTGGATTCGAACCCCAAAAGCCATCCAACACCAGTACCCTGGCAGCACACCTCACAGTGACCAAAAACACTAGTCCTGCACCCCGTGTGTCTCGTCGGCCAAACCTCTCCAAGCAGCTGCGCGGTGATCGGCAGCTCGGGCAAATGGGCCTTCACACCACGCAGGAGGCCTCGACTCGGGATGGAGTGATGGTTCCAAAGAGTGGTTTGGGACGGATCCATGGAACGAGATCATGGATTGCAACGAGATCAAAGAGTCTTCTTAGAAAACAAAGCGCTTTGGAAGTGCTTGAGCCCAAAGGAAGACCAACCCTCTTTCATCCTCTTTCCTACCTTTTTGTGTGGGGAATATAGATTCGAAGGGATTTAGTCCGCACTCTGTTTAGGTGTTCTTCGTCATGTTTCGAGAGAAAATCATTCTTGTCACCCTGCTTGGGGAACCGATTCGAAGGCTTCTCATGCCTCTGCACCTCTGGCCTTTGGGACAGGCCCTTCAGATGCATCTCAAACGGACGTCTTGATGACTCCGAGCAACATGGACACCTCGTCAGATTGCTCTGCTCATTCCTACTACAACTCCGGAATGAGGGCTGGCCACTAGCAGGTTACCAAAAGTGGCCAAGCTTATTTTTTGGGACAAGCAACCGTTAAACATGAGACTCGTCGCTTGGGAAACAAATAAAACTGATTTATAGACAAGAACGACATCAACTATACCAAATTGCCTACACCCCTATCGTCCCTATAAGAAGCCAGCTCTTCTCATCCCTCATGGCAGCTCCAGCTCCGGGCCTCTCGTCCCATCGCCACGCTCCCATCCGCCCTCCCCGACAAGCGCCTTCGAGCACTTCACAGGCCGCCAGGGCCGAGGCATCGTTCCGCTCCTGCGTGGAGCATGGGACGTAGCGATCAGATCGGCTTGGATGTGAGAAGAAGACTGGGAAGACTCCGCAGGTGTCGACTGGGATGATTTTCGGGGTAAAGCATGACCCAACGATGCCCAAGGGGTTTTGCTATGTTTCGCATGTTCCCACGGGCATTTCAATGGCATTGGTTTACAACATCCACGGAGGAATGCCTTTGAGCTTTTGATGGATCCATCCACAGCAAGAAACTATTCAAACCTATTCATGGCATACACCAGCTACCCTCCAACAAGCACATCGCTTTTTTTATGTAGTCTCCCAAATGGCATGGTGTACGTGTACTCCCGAACGGATGAACACCTTACCAAATGAGGTGTTTTTTTCACTCCACCAAACCCCCCAAACATGTCTTCGTCGCACAGTACATTAGTAGCTGGTGCCTGAGTTCCTGTCCACACATGAAGTGACCCTCCCTGCTTTTGTTGGAGGCGTGATCCAAAGCCGTCACATCCGACAGAATGGGTCAACATCTATGGTGTCTTTTCATAAGTTCCACCTCCGTCTTGGGTGATTCTGCCAAACCAACCAGCCTTCCAAACATCAACGGACATCAGAACTAACTAGCTTCTCTCTCCCAATCCCCCTCGCCTGCCAGGCAGCACGGAGCTGTGCCAAGGCTTCGTCGAGAGTCGTTCGGGACCTCAGTGCGTCAAGATGCGTCAACTCACGACCGCCGGCTGTGGTATGGGCGTCCAGAGGTGTCCAGTGACCAAGTGAGAGCAAGGCTGAGCATATTGTGAATGCCTATATAGACCACAAGAGCTTTGGATTCACATCTGAAAGGGCCTTACGGTATACAGTCTGTTCCAGTGCTCTTCGGTAGAAACCCTCCGTGAAGAAACCCTCAAGAGCAAACCTCTTCCAACACCAGCCAGACTTGCACTACCTGAAAACAATCAGAAGTCCTATTCTGTGTGAATGATGTGAATCATGTGTCCCTATTTCAAAAGACTCTCTTCAGCAGTGCATAACTGATCATAACTGTTTAGCTGTGATTGTTCTGCATAAATGTCATCAAGCTTGATTCAACAGGCTCCATCCGATGAAAATAAGTCCACATGCTGTCGCTGTGGTCAACAAAATAGTTGCTGAACGCATCCTGAAAGGCACAGCTCCCCTGACCACAAACGAACCTTGCGGTCACAAGGGGTTTCGGAACTGCTGTCGCCATGGTTGGATCCATCGTTGCTTTGCTGCGCACTGGTCTAGCTTCCCCCAATCAATAGAATGTGGGCTTCGGATCTGCAGTTCACCACACTCATTTGGCTATGGGTCAAAACCGGGGGACATTGGTTGACCATAGAAAATGAACTGAATACACTACTGGGGACGCCAACCTACTGGGTTTTGACCCACAACCATTTCAAGCTCTTCACAGATCAAAACCATAGCAGCCACCATGTGTGGGGCCCGTGGATCAGTGGCCAGAGTAGGCACTAAGCTCAGAAGGAACCTGTGACGAGAGAGAGATGTTTTTCATGTTCAATGTAATGGACTATTGGATGTAAGTTTCGACCACTTTTTGCAAGAGATTCATCTAGGGTAGTGACAGTGACCGCAGGCCAATCCAGGTGGGCAGACTGAGCTCCACCTTTCTGCTTGCAGGAGTTTCTGTTGAACAGATTCGAAAAGCCGTTCTTATGGGTGAGTTGACAGTTACTCCTTGTTCCTCCTCCTTTCCCAAAAAAGGACCTTTATAGGGCAAGTCTCGACGTTTTTCTTCGTGCTTTTGGGCCCGTTCCCCCTCGGGCAGGTCCAGCCCCTTCAGTCCAAGGGACGGCTGCTCGGACGCAGACCTAAGGGCGGAAGGGCGGAAGCACACACGGCCGGGGGTCATCAGATCGTTCTTTGATGCCGAACAGTGCAAAACCCGGTGTCAAACCTTGATTGCAATCGATTGCTTGTTAAGAATCATAAATCGGAGTCTTGCCTCTTTTTTCGTTCCCTACTATACTTACGGCTGCCCAATTGCTGCACTACCAGAACGTGTAGGCGCTGCACTGCCATGGAAACCCCCAAATTCCAAGAAGTCTGAGTGGCCCTGAACAAATCCACGGGAGTCTGGGCGCATATTGGCAGCATGGCCATGGAAGCCAACCGCTCGGAATCATCAGCCCTCCCACTCATCCACCACGCCAAGGCACGTCCCCGTGGTGCTCGCCGTCGCCTCCCAGGCACAAAGGGAGCAAACGTGGTACGATGGTGTAGGGTAGCTATGATTCGGGAGAAGAGGAAACAGGGAGTATTCATACGTATCCTGCAAGCAAAAAGGACCATGCTGATTTGGTGGACATGTTCCAAAACCCTAATTAACTTCTATAGCTGCTTTAGAATATCTGTTTGGTGAATTTTGTTTTTGCTCAAGTCGAACAGTTTGATCATGTCTTAGCAATCGACACACCTAGAAGAACCCCCAGAGAAGGCCTCTGATATATTGTGTAAGATGTTACTGGCGCTGCCTTGGCCTGCTCTACACTGCACATTCCATGTTGGACCCCAAAAGTGCAATCCAGAAACACAGGTCTTCAGAAAACGTCCCTTTGCAACAACTGGAGGAAAGGAAAGGACTGAGTAGACCGGAGTAGACTGAGTAAACATTGTCTCTTCCTCTCCTCCTTCCTTTTCACCTTGAGCGGAAACCTTTCTCTAAGGGTATGGCCCCGGTATGGCTTCCTGTTTGACCAACGTCATTACGTACTAGCACTAAAAGTGTCGAATCTTCCATAATATTTCTTTGCACATCCTATCTTTCGTGTCTTCGGAGGCGTTGCAAAGGCGACGTCTGCAGTTTCCAGTTCATCGAAACGCCCGGCCTCCTCGCAGTCTTCCACCCGCTCAAGCTCCTTGATCGCCGGCACGCTCTTCGCACGCCTGAGTGTCGTGCTGGTGCAAAGAGCCGGCGTCAGACGTGCTTGGGGAAAACGGATAAGACAAAGTCTTTGGAAGGATCATGTTTAGAGTCATTGGGTATTTTGTGGCATTGATTTAAACATATTCAAACACAACTTGGATCTGAGTTGGAAGTGCTTCAAGTGACTGCTATACCAAGAAATCTACTGCGATCTCCTTGGGACGCATCAAAGCATGCCGCATGCCACTGTTTTTGTTGAAGCCTGAGTCACTCTTGGGGTTGCTTCAGGCTTCAAGTAGATGGAACATGATGGAACACTCCCATTGCTCAAAGCATGTTTGACCATGTTTGACCACTCCCCGACCACTAACCGATCGAACCTCAAATGCCCGATCGATGCACGATCGGCTTCCAGAACGATAGATGGTCAACCGATCGATCCATGCACGATGTTTCTGTGTATAGGTGATAATAGTCCCTGTCCGAAGACTTTATCTTGCGCTCTTCTTTGCATCAATTCCTCCTTCCAAACAAGTCCATCTAGAAATCCGCCAAAACCATCCATATAGCAGATGTTGCTTCATTGTTGTTTCATATAATCTTGCATTTTTTTCACGAACAAAAAGCTAACACATCATCCACATCATCCACATCACTCCATCTGCTGCCAAGCTTCATCAGTTCCTCCACGTCCACCGGCTCCGAGGACCAGCACCACATGCGACGTCAGCGGGCGTAACGACGGGCGCGTCACGCGTCACGCGGTGCGCGCGGTCGGTCGGGCCAAAAAAGGGTCGGGGCCTGCGCGGAAGGCGCGAAGTCCGAAGCGGCGGAGAAGGTGATCCAAGGATCGAAAAGGTGGAAGGTTCAGTTGAAAGAGTGAACATCACTATGGCGGAGAAGGTTGTTTGGTGTTTTTTTTCTTTTTCCGAAGGTTTCGGAAGAAGCGAAAAAGACGCTGGGGGAAGGTGATCAAAGGAGATGGTCTCAGTTCTCGAGGATGTTCCCAACATTCTGGGCTTTAGTGGCTGGCAAAATGGCTTGAGGTTGGGACAGTTGGACACAAATGCCGTGGTTTTCCCAGTTCATTTAGATGCCATCTCAAGATCCGAGATTGGATCACTAGTGGTTCTGCGGGCCCTGACGTCAAAAGCTCCTTTTTTCGATGAAACTTTTCACCCAAACAACTGCGATGTCATTTAAGTCTTTTGAGACAAACTAAGGCAACCCAAGTCGCCATGTTGTTTCAACTCCATCGATTGGTCATCTACATGGATTGCAAGGCTGCCAAGGGGGGGGAAGATGAGTGATCCTGGCTGAGGTGCCTGGAGTGTGTGGAACTCTTATCTCTGCAGTTTCCTGTGGAGAACTCTTGATGAACTCGATGGCCCTGCAAATGTGTACAATCCAGGTGTTTACATCAACTCCCAAAGGGTCCCTCACCTCCAAAGTTTTCTTTAGTGGAACTGCTATCTTCCGTGTGAGGTTTATCTCAAAAAGGGGGTTTCTCGGGGAGAGTGGCGAGTGGGTACAAAAGGTGCAAAAAGATCAGCAAAAAGAATTGCTGGGGGCTCCATTGCGAGATACCTATGTCCAATCTCCAGCGAAAGCATTTTCCACATCCCAGCTCAGGTCACGTTTGACAACAGAAAACACGCCAGACTGCACCTCAAGCAGCAAAGGAGGACACCTGACCAGACGGAACATGACAGACCTTGCAGATCCGTAAGGGTGTGTGTTGCTTCGGGTGAACTTCAAGCGCACAGCTGTGCTGGTGCATGTGGGTGGGTAATGGTGGGTATAGAATTAGGAGCTGAAGTCTTAAGTGTCTTTCTCTGAGCACTTTCAATCGATGCTGAAAAAAAACGGACACCTGATTTGGACTCCCAAAAAAATGCTAAAAACTGCCAGGCGAACATGGAACACAAGTCCGACTTCCGGCAAAACCATGCAAGACCCATGCACGAATCCAACTCTCAGGAAATTCCCACCGGGGTTTAGATGTTTTGGAAGTCGGGTGACGTGCTTTTAGAATCCAACTCGTGGGAGTCCGTGCCTTTAGAATCCAACTGGAGCCTCACAAGTGCTTTTAGAATCCACTAACATCCAAGTGCTTTTAGATGTTTTTAGACCACTTGGAGTCTCACTTTGCCTCCCACGCACGTCGCATCACGTCGTCCCATCGCGGCACGGACGCGTGGGCTGAAAACGCCTCCCCGGAGCTTCGGGCTGAGAGCGAATCAGCTGCCTCCAGAGGCGACAAGGGAGGTCGAAAGCATCTGCAGAGAGGCCCTAACAACCCTCAACTAAAGACCGGTTGGAGGGTGCTGGTAAGGATTTGAGGGGGGTTGATCGAAAGCATACCTTACTATACATCTTCGTGTGCGGCACATGTTTTTGTCCACAAGGTGGATCTATAGCAAGAAGGGCGCTTAAAGGATTTGGTGTGATTTGAGACCTGTGACCCTTGTGGCATTATGGCATTACCAACCCTAAACCTTGATCACTCGAATGGCACCTTTTTCAAGGATTTGATGTCTTTGATACCCTATCCAACCCTTTGATCTTCAAGAGTCTTGAAACTGACCTAACTGATAACATCTGTAACATCTGTATCTGGATGTTGATCCATGTCAATGTGGACCATACTTGTTTTCAAGTGTGTTTGTGTTTGATACCCTATCCAACTTTGACAATTTTTTCTCCAGCCGTCCTTGTGACCATACCAGGCGTAGCCCCGGGAGGTAGTAGATCACTTCCAACATCCCTATTTTAGAATGTCCGCGGGCTAGGAGTTTCTGGACATTCCTCATGTTTAGTATAGGACTAAAACAAGAGCTCCAAAATATGCCATCGATATCTTCTCGCGAATTAGGGTTCTTCTGATTTGCTACAGGCAAGAAGGTATTATGCTCTGACACTTTGATGCATCAAAGATATGGCGAGTCAAAACCCTAAGACCCTGGTGTTTCCCACCAAACATGGTCAACCTACCAGGGTGAGTCAACTGGGCTACCCGTGTGCCATGACCCACAGCCATCCCCTTCATCGCTCCTCCCGGGTGCCACCCGCACCTGCTCCCCTCGGCTGACCTGGACCGATGTGGGGGAAGTGGGGGAAGTGGTGTCTGCAAGCGTCTCCACGTAGATCTAACATGGGAGCATAGAAAGACAATAAGAAAACTGCTAATGTTTTATGAAGATCTATGGTGTTAATAGTCATGTTTTAATGAATAGGCATGAAGATCTTTCAGTGTGCTATTTAAGGATGACAATCTCATAGACTACGTACTCCGCTTCTTCAAGTCCCTCAAACCAAGGGCACCAGTGGAGAGATGGTGTGACACCGAACCAGCTCTGCAGTCCTTGTGGTCCAACCAGGAATGCCAGGGGGGGATTCGCCCACACCGCAGGGAAAATATATAAGAGATCGCCATTCCTTTTGTCCACCTTGGTGCCATCGCCTTTCCTTTTTCGGTGCCATCTGCAGGCGATACATTTGGAGGTCAACACCTGAATACCTTGGTTGACCTGCCTGGAAGGTCAATGAGGTCACTGGATTCTACATTGCTACAGGACCACATCCTACATCCCCCGTGCCTCTCCGGTCGAGGGAGGCACCGCCCGGGAGAGTGGGAAGGGCAACTCACCTGAACAGCGCCGAAGGCCGCCGCCGCTGTCAGATCCCAAAGCTCGAGGGGCATGGCATCCAGATGCGGGTGTCTCAAAGCCCTGGTGGTAGCGGGGAATTTCTCCTTCCCACGGGGTGGTGTCACGAGAAAAAGGATTGATTCCGCCAATTCGAAGTAAAGCTTTGAGACAATTCTGTGGCTTTGAGACTGGACTCTCTTAGTCACGCTTGTCAGATCTTTAGCTGGAAGTTCGGTTTGTGGAACTGCAATATTTGAAGACCAACGTCCAAAGATTGTTTCATATTGTTTCACCTCAAGCATCCTCAAGTAGTTTGGGGATTCCATCATCCAACAGCTATCACTGATGATGCCACCTCTTCCCATGCCACTGCGCCCGCGAGACCCGGGCCTTCTTCCGAACCGCTGACGTCGCCTGACCGTGGTGAATACGGGCATGGTGTTATACCCCGGGCCTTCTTCCCGGTGACTGGCAGCTTTAAGAAGCCAACAAGAAGCAACAAGTCATACCAAGACAAAGTAGACTGAGGAGCCTAACCCCCAGTGGACGAAGCTGGTCTCTCCCCAGTCAAGCAGTTTTCAGAAGGTATCCTTTAGAGGTCAATGCCGGCGACCACCGAAGACCCCATACCACTCGCATCGGATGGTCGTACGGGCTACTACATCGATCTCCTACGCCAATTCCATCGCCTAACAATCCATGGGACTGGGGTGCTTTACAGGGTCAATGTAGGTACAGTAAATACTCAAGTCCCATGGATGGTCTGGGAGAGATTCTTCATGATTCTTCCACTCTCACGATGTTTTTCCACGACTCGCCCACCGGCCACGTACAGTCCCGTCGTTGGTGCCGCCTCGATCGGTCACTTCCCCATTGGACCTGGGCAAAGGGTCCGATACCCCTGGACGGCGGACCGTGTCACACGTGTCACAGACGAGGGTCGCGACTCGTGCAGACCGTGGCACTGGCCGGAGCAAGAGGTCTGTGGGTCTGGAGGCTGGTCTTGAGGTCTAGACGTTGCTTTCTAGTCAATTCAGACCACAGCAAGTTATCTTTTTTGTCTTTTGGAGACCACGAAGACATGGCCTTTTGAGAAGCCAATTTGGAGGAGTCACACTGACATAGAATCTGACTTGTGAAGTGGAAACCTCAGCTTGCAGTCGACATTTGTGGGAGGGTTCCTCTAGTTGGTCAATTTCTGATATATGTTCCCCTGATTTATGGCCGCTCCGCTTCCTAGAAACCACTCCGAAGCATTTCTCCCTTCCAACACCCCTCCGATCTCCTAGATCTTGAATCATCTTTTTTGAGAATATTTCAGAATAAAGATAGGTCTTTTCCACAGTCCCACCCCCCCAACAAAAAATTAAATAACCACCCATGTGTCTCTCCATACTTCTCCACAAAAATCCCACGGCCCCGACCCCTCTCCCCACCCCTTTCCCTATCAATCCAAGAGGCCGCAGTTCCCCCGGCGACGATCTCCCACTCATCGTCACTTCTCCCAAGGAAGACCCGCTCCGCCCGCGCGGCGCACGCGCGTGGCGCTGCTGCGATGCCCGCGGCAGGACTTCCCCGGGACTTGAAGCCGCCTGAGCAGAGGTGGTAGAGCCAAGGCAGTCGGGACAAGTATTGAGTCATAGAAATCCACTTTTTGGGGGACAGAACGAAGGATTGCATGCATAGCACCCACCACAGAATGCCTACAAACAGATCATCAACAAAGACTATACTTCAATCTGGAAACACTATGCCTCTCAAGCTCTGCCATCCACCACCGCAAGAGCGTGGCTCTTAGAGCCCATTGCCTCTGCCCGCACGGCGTATGGCATTTTCTCCATGGCCTGCAACGATCACCAATGAGTTTCCAGCATGGGTTCGCAACGTCCATCATGGAAGAGTCACTTTGGGAAAATGAGAAAATGACTGACATGACTCGAAAAACACCCAAAATACATGATTTGCTCAGAGACCTACATCTGCCAAAGGTTCATTGTTGACACCGAACCCATCTCTACAAGCAACCGTGGCGTCCCAAACATGGTGTCCAAGTGGAGGAGTTCAGAGATGAACATCCAAATGTTCCCTGAGTCTTCATCATGGGCCTGGCCATGGATGACGTTCAGCCCCCGAAGACTCGACTCGCATGACTA